TTTTGTTGGGTTCGGCGGGTGTTTTCTTCGAAGGCTAGTTGGAGTTTTTTTTGGGTGTAGAGAGTTTGGATTTGCTTGTAGAGGGATTTTTTATCATCACCTTTGGCATACTTTCTCCAATTAGTTTTTTGCTCATAGTTTTCATACAAGTGTTGGTAAAGAGGGTGGTTTTTAATAGTGGTTCAAGCTTCTTCTAACTCTTGGAGGGTTTTGGCAGGATTTAATAAGTCTTTTAATTTTTCAAAATTGGAGTAGTATTTTTTAAAAACTCTTTTGATTTTGTTTTTGGAGGATCGCTGGCGTAGATTTTTTTCTTTTAAATATTCTTCAAATTCGGGAACATCTTTGCCATCTACGGTCAATAATTCGAGGCTAGGGAAGTTTTTTCAGTTAAGAGGAATTTTGGAACAAATAACTTTTTTGAGGTTGGAGAGTCGGTCTAAACTTAGGTTTTTAATTTGTTTTATTTCTTTAATTTTTTTCATTAAACATTTCTTGACTTTTTCCACCGTCTCTTGCATATTAACTAAAGAAGAAAGAGGAATTTCAAGACGAGAGAGAACTTTTTTTAAAACAATTTTTCTTAAAGATTCTGAAAGATTTTTATTATTAATAGCCTGTTTAAAAGATTCGCTAAGTTCATGAATTTCACGAGCATCATATGATTTTTGAACACTATAATCTAAATAAGTTAATCTACTACATCCATCAACTTTTAACTTTGAAATTTGACTTTCTTTACAAGAAACAAATTCTAGGTTTTTTAAATTACTAATCTCTAATTCTGTCAAAGAGTTTTCAGCACAGTCCAATTCAATTAAACTCTCGCAAGTAGTTAAACCTCCTATTTTTTTTAAAGAAAAATTGTAACATTTACTATTATTATTAGCACAATACAACTCTTTTAAATCCTTTAAACCAGTAACATCTAATTCATTTAAATTACACTTAAAACAATACAAACTCTCCAACTTCTTTAAATGTTTTAGTTCTAATTTAGTAATAGGATTATTATCACAAAGCAAACCTTTTGTTTTTTTATTTCGTCTCAAATCTAATTTTGTCAACTTGTTACTCGAACATCGCAATTTTTCTAAATTTTTTAATCCAGTTAAATCAATATTTTTAACTTTGTTAAAAGCAAAACTTAAATGCTTCAAATTCGGACAGTTCTCTATTACTAATTCAGTTAAACCACAATTATCAACTGTTAAATGAGTAAGATTAGGACAATTCTTAACTTCTAATTTTCCTTCTCAACCAGTTTCATTAGAGATATCAACCTCAGTTATTTTATCATTATCAATTAGAAAATCAGGAGTTATAGGAACTCTTGGTTTGCCATTTGCTCTTTCTTGGGCTAATTTCTTAGCCTTAAATTCATCCATTTTACTAGGGGAAAAATTATTATCTGAGTAAGCAAATACTTCAAGGTTTTTTAACTCACTAATATCTAACTCAGTTAATTTGTTATAAGAAGTATACAAATCCGTTATTTCGGGGCAATCTTTGATTTCTAAATTAGTTAGTTTGTTGTGTGAAACAATTACTTCTT